TATTCACTTTATAAATCTTCAAATAAATTGTAAAAGCTACCATATTTCCAAATACAGGCTAAGACAAAAAGGTTACCATTTAAGTAAGGAAACAAAACCTTTCTGAACATCTGCACTTGTTTGTTCATTGCAGCACTCTTTACAATAGCCAGAAACTGGAAGAAACCTGAATGCCCAAGAACAGATGACTGGTTAAAGAAACTTTGGTACATCTACACAATGGAGTACTATGTAGCTGTTAGAAAAGATGAAGTCATGAAATTTACATACAAGTGGTACTACATGGAAAGTATCATGCTAAGGGAAATGACTCAGAAAGAGAGGGATAGACATAGAAAGATTGCATTCATCTGGGGAACATAAAGTAACAAAATAGGAGACTAACACCCAAGAATGGCCGAGATTAGTACCAGGAATTTTACTCCATGGCTTGGAGTCCAACCACACATGCTAGGGGAAAAGGGAGCTCAGCTAGAGAAGGGAGCACCAAATAAAGGGTGTTGGGAGGATCCTCCCAGGATGGGAGAAGCATGCTGAAAGTAGACTATAGAACAAACATGATTGTCACCCATTGCCTCTTTTGCAAACCATAACACCCAATAAGAGAGAGAGAACAAAAGGGAGTGCCCTGCCACAGAGGTAGGGTGGGATGGGGGGATGGGGGTGGGAGGGATACTGGGATCCGTGGTGGTGGGAAATGGGCACTGGTGGAGGGATGGGTATCTGATCATTGTATAACTGAAACCAAAGCACAAAAAATTGTAAATCTACAACTGTAAAAAAAAATAAAATAAAATAAAGGGGAAAAAAATAAAAAAATTTAAAAAAAAAAAACCTTTCTGAAATCACTCCTTGGTATATTTCTGGCAGAAGTAGAGTATCTTGGGCACAGCTTAGAGATCTTTCCAACATAACCTACCAGAGGAATAATGGGCCACAAAGGAAGGGGATTGTGATTTAAAATAGGGACCTGAAAGATAACAGACATTCCCATGAATAACCATCTTAATGGTCTGGAATGTTTTCACTATGCTTTATTTATACAACATATTACCCCCCCCCACACACACACACACGGCCCCCCTCCTTTTTTTTTCTTTTCAGTACCAGGGAATCAAACCCAGGACCTCACAAAAGCAAAGTAAGTATTCTACACTGAACTCTATCCCAGGCCTGCTGAGACCCCAAATTCTTATTCTTAGTAGCTCCCTCATTACTCAGATCATCCAACAAACACTGATTAAATATCACTTGCTGTGCCAAGCACAGAAGCCCTATGTAACAGACAAAAGAAAAAAAAATTTTTTTTGATTTTGTGAATTCGAGGAAACAGAATCCATAATAATTCAAGGCTACGGTACAAACTACAAAATGCTTTAAGAATGCAATGGGAATCTTGCTTGAGGAGACCCCCCCAAAATCTGTGTGCTTCCATTTCTTTCTTACCTTCCCTTCCCCTAAATAAAGTGTTTTACTGGGGGAGGGAGATTGTTGTGTCCTTGATTACAGTCTCATTTGGGAGTTATCACCTTTAGTGTTTCTATGGAAATTGTTCAAGACAGGTAGGAAAAACATGATCTAGGAAGTAAGCAAGATATCAGAAGCTCAAACTGTTTCAGTGGCTGGAAGCCAGTCACTGGCTCTCTAAAAGCCATTAAAAATAAAAATCAAAGCACTGGATTAAATTATATCAAATCTTTCTAGTTCTAAAATTCCTTGATTCTTAATTTGGAATCTTAATGGAGTCATTTCTTGGGAGAAATGGTAACTAAATGCTTAAAAAACAAATAGGCGCAAATCACACCCTATTATCTTTCACTTACTGAAAAGAGCATCGCTAATGACCCTTCACTTAACTATAGTCTGACCTTCATGTTCTTTTGTGAAATTTTTATTTCAAACACTATCCATAAACTAAGCGTGATTAAACTTTAAGAGAGTGTGTGTGTATATATGTTTATATATATATATCTGTCACTGTCCTACTGTTGTTCATCAATTTGCTCCAGGGGGCCCAGTAACATTATGAGACTTGTTACTGTGTTTGTCATATTGAATACGTCACGGGTAGTTTGCCAGGCTTTGCCGTGCGGGCGAGATACTCGGTAGTTTGCTGGGCTCTCAGAGGGGGAGGAGAAATCAAACTCCGGTCGGCTATGTCGGCCACGTGCAAGGCAAACGCCTTACCCGCTGTGCTATATATATAGTAGAAATCAAAAGTATATCTCCTTAGAGTATTTAGAGTTTGGAATTAATAAGCACTAAAGTACCAAGAGTCAAATATCAGCTGAATCCCAATTCTGTACCTAAACTAAGAAATGTCACTATTTCCAGGAGTTACAAAACTACATAAAGTAGCGGTTTCTTCTTAAAAGCAGCTATGTAATTTGTGAGGTGCAAAATAAAAATACGGGACACTTTGGTCAGAAATTCATAATTTCAAGGCGATATCAGCAAATCATTCAACCAAACAGGCCTTTTTGTGCGTGCACATGTTGTGCCACTGCATGGCCATTCAGCCCAAAATCTCTCCTTAGGAATGGCCCTTTATCAAGCTAGAAATATCCAGTTAAAAATACTATCAATAAAGACAACTACAATTTAATACCCACATGTTCTTCCTCTATTTTTAGAATAAAAGGATATAGACCTTATCCTACCAAAAAAAAAACCACATACAGACTTAATTTAGGTCGCCTGAGTTCAAGCCCTATCTTTACTGGCTCTGGCAACTTAATCCCTCTGGTGTTCTATTAAAGAAAAAAGGAAGAAAGCCCAACAACACCTACCAAATGGACACCTATAATGGACACCTATAATGGACAACAAAGACAGGGGAGAGCGAGAGCTCCTGGATCACAACGGCCATTCCCAAAATTGTCTTAAGTGAACAAATAACCCCATAAGTTAATGTTTAAAATGAGTTTATACATAGATTGCTACAAAAGCCCCATTAATTATCATCTCTGGAAAGACTTCACAGAAAGCTAATAAAGGGCAAACTTTAGTTTCTGAAAAATTTTTTTTAATAATTCAATTCACGAGTACTTACTAAACACCTACTTCAAAAGTTCTCTTGGCAATTTTTCTCCTTCCTATCATTCCTCCTTCACAGCTCCTTCAGCCCTTTTGGTGGGAAAACAATACACTGAATCTTTTCTGCTTTCAGTAGTTTTCTGGCTAAGGTGGATGCTCATGTTTACAGGAAACATGGAATGAGTATAGTGACTAATAGCAAAACACACACATGAATAATACCTATTTAAGTTTTCGATATACCTCACTGTAGTACTGCCTGAAACATTTTTTTAAAATGAATATTGATAAAAAGCCAGAGAGGGCAGAAGGATATGGACATAAAACAGATTCTAAATCTTGCTTTCATCTCCTACATACCATGTTACCTATCTCCAAAATAGGTATCAAATATTTGTATTACTGGCAGGAAAAAAAAATCACAATGCTTCTGGCAGCAGCATTCACTGAAATCCATAATACAACTTAAATCTGTGAATTATTCCGAGTCTTCACTTCCAACTTGTATAAACTTTTAATCGTGTTCCTTAACTTCTACGTCTCTATAAAATGCAAAACTTAAAAAAAAAAAAAAAAGCAGACCACGGCTCTTAAAACCCGGGAGCCTGAAATACAGTTGCAAGAGTTCTGAGCTTTACCTAATTTCCCCAAGTGTTCCCAAACTGGAAAAACAACCAGCAATAATCCCACTGATGAAAAGACACGGGGGGGGGGGGGGGGGGAGGTTGGGAAAGCCCACTGCCCGAAACAAAGAAACACGACATCTCAAACTTGGCGACAAGTCATCAGCTTGAAGAAAACGGCTCCTAACTCAACCCCCAAGGATGGCCAGCAACAGCCTCCTAAGACCACAGTCTCACACACGTGAACACAGAAAACCAGCCGCTGGACGGAGAGGGGTTCCCCCCACCCCCAAAAATAAATAAATAAACAAACAAAAACACATTGGAGGAGAGACATCAACGGTACCTACAGGTGACAGAGGAAAACTGTCCAAATTGTGTCACTGTGCATCTGGGCAGAGGAGAGCACAACACGGAGCCTGGGGGGTCCAGGGAAAAGTTCCATCCACTACAAATCCAAAACTTAAGCGAGCGTCTCGTGTGGGTGAGTGGCGGGGGGGGGGGGGGGCTGCTTCCACCCCACCCCTCTCCTGGGGGGTGGGGCGGGGAGTGGAGAGAGACCACCGCCCTCTCCCAAGCCTCCCCCGGGTCCCGCACACGCGTCTGAAACGGTCACTGGGTGTAAACAGAGTCTCGCCCGGCGCCCCCTAACACTGGCGCTGAGGCTGGGGGTGGGGGGGTGGGGGCCTGGCTGCACTTGGGTGGGGGAGCAAAACCAAACGCGCCCATCGCTTCCCGGGAACCCACAGGCCACCCCAACCCGAGACGGTACCCGGCCAGGGGGTGACGCCAGGACCCCGCGAGAGGAGGGGGCGGGCCCCGTCCGAAGAAAGGCCGCGGGGGGCCGGGCGCGTGCGGGTCCGGCGCCCGCACACGTGGCCCACGGGGGGGGGGGAGAGGGGAGGGACCCGCTGGCGACCCGGACCCGGGCGGGGGCGGGGGCAGCCCGGGGAGGCGGCTCGCAAAGTGGCTCTTTCCCGCGGAGCGTGGCCGGCGGCCCGTCGTGCCCCCTCCGCGACCTCCAGCGCCGCCGGCCCCCGCCAACCCCGCCAGCCGGCCGGCCCGAGCGAGGGCCGCAGTCCGCGGAAGGGGTTCGGCGCCATTTCGGTCCGGCCGGGGACCGTGGCCCCGGCACTCGCGGCGGCGGCGGCGGCGGCGGCGGCGGCAGCGCCGAGTCCCGTCCCGGCCGCGCACGGCGACGCCCGCTCCCGGCTCCCGGGGTTCCTGGCTCCGCCGCGGCCCAACCGGAAGGCGCCGTCCCAGGGCTGGCGGGGCCCGCCAGGCCGCGCCGGGCCTACCGAGCGGCCGAGCGGCCGACCGGCCGCGCGGGGCGCCGCTCACCGTGTGTTCGTGCTCGTCCGCCCGCGCCCGGGGCGGCAGCGCCAGCAGCAGCAGCCACAACGCGGCGGCCGCCGCCGCCACGCCGGGAGCGCCCGGCAGCGGCCTCATCCTCCGCGCTCCCACCGGCCCGGCGCCGCCGGCCCACCGACTCCTCCTCCGCCGCCGCGGCCGATTCGCATCCACGGGGCGCGCACTGACGCTCGGGGCCCGGGCCCAGCCGCTGGCTCCTCCGCGCCGCCGCCGCCGCCGACACCGCCCGCTCCCGATCCTCCCCCGCCCCCCGGCGCCTCCGCGGCCGCTTCCTCTGACTCAGCCACGTCATCCGGCCACCCCGGCACACGCCGGAAGTGCCGCGCGACGCGGGGCCGCAACCGCCGCCGGCGCCCCGCCCGGGAGCGGAGCGCGAGCCCGCGGCCTCCCCGGTTCGCCCCCCACCCCCCCACCCCCGGTCGCTGCCCGGACCCTGTCGCTCGGCCTTGGCCCCGGCCGTCGGAAGTGGTGTATGACCTTGCCCCCCCCCAAAGCTGACGTTTTCTTGGCTCCCTTTGCCTGGGCTCTGAATTGGGGTGATGGTGGGGATCAGGCCACAGAACCCGGCCCTGGCCCTGCCTTGCACGTATCCCGCACCCTTGGGATCCTGATGATGCGAGTCTGCCTGGACAGGGTGGGAGAAAGTGTTTTTTGAAGTCACAGGGTTTTTTTTAATCGCTTCCACCTTCCTCCCCCCACCCCCATTATGTCCAGATTCCTCCTTGTTCGGTGTATTTGTTTGTGGGTCTCGGGTTCACAGGCATAACCCCACCGAAAGCTAAGCTCCTCTCCTAAGCAGGCAGCTGTGCATGCCCCTGATTCTGGGTCGACAACAGCACGAGCGCAGATCGGAAAAGTTCTAAGTCAAAACCATATTTGGATTTGGTACCACTGCCATCCTGGAGCCAGAAGTCGGTGATTTGCAGTGGGATGGGTGCAGCCGTCAGCAGTCGAAGTTCTAGCATTTCTTCTCCTAGAAAGGACTCTAGGGTTTATTTTTCCGCCTCGCCACCCCCACCCCCACTGCCGGGAATGGCCCAGCTCCCTCGTGTTGTATGACAGGATCCCTGCCACCAACTTTGCCTCCCTGTTTATCCTCCCCCATAGGTGCCAGAAGTCTCTTTCTAAAAAGAATCCTGGTTATCTCACTTAATCACTTAATCACTTAACTTCCCGTTAGTCGTCGATTTGCTCGAGCGGGCGCCAGTAACGTCTCCATTTGTCCCTGTCGCGTGCTAGTGTAGCCCAATGGCATCTCTTCGCTCCGGGAACATGGAGGGCCTCAAACCGATCGTTCATGACCTTGACAAAGAAGTCTGACCATCTGGTAGGTGGGCGGCCACGCGGTCTCTTGACATCCCGTGGAATCCAATCAGTAACAGCTCTAGTCCAACGGTCGTCTTTAAATCTCATTACGTTACCAGCCCATCTGATTTTCGACACCTTGGCAAATGGGACAGCGTCCCTGATCCTTGATCGTCGACGGATGTCAGAACTCCGGATTCGTTCTCTCATTTGAGTGAAACGTGATATTCCAAGCAGAGCTCTTTCTATTCTTCTTTGGGAGACCTGAATAGCGTTCTCATCTTGTTTGCGTAGGGCCCAGGTCTCTGAGGCATATGTTAATGCAGGAAGAACAGTGGAATCAAAGAGATGTGCCCGGAGCTGGAGGTTCTTCGTCCTCTTAGCTATTTCTTCGACGTTCTTGAAGGCGTTCCAAGCCGCTCTCTTCCTCCTGCGCAGCTCGGGTGCCAGGTCATTTGTCATGTTGACCTCTCGACCTAGGTACACATAGCTGTTGCATTCGGAGATGGTCGTTCCATTGAGAGTGAATGGGGCGTCAGGAACAAGGCTGTTTCTCATAAACATTGTCTTCGTAAGATTCAGCTGTAGTCCTACCTTTCCACACTCACCGTCAAAGTCGGCCAGCATTTGTGCCGCTTGGCTGATGTTTTGTGTTATTAAAACAATGTCATCAGCAAAGCGGAGGTGGTGTAGTTGCCGACCATCTATCTTCACTCCCATTCCTTCCCATTCCAGTCGTCGCATGATGTTCTCGAGGGTGGCACTGAAGAGTTTTGGTGAAATGGTATCACCCTGCCGCACCCCTCTCTTGACATCAACGATCACTTCTTTGTAGAATGGTGAGATCCTGGTAGTGAATCCGCAATACAGCTCACGGAGGATCCTGATGTATTGGGCTTGAATGCCCTGATTGGCTAGGGCTTCAATGACCGCTTCCGTCTCAACAGAATCAAAGGCCTTCTTTAAATCAATGAACGTTAAGCAGAGCGGCATCTTGAACTCCCGAGAAACCTCAATGAGCCTGGTTATCGTGTGGATGTGGTCGATGGTGCTGAATCCTTTGCGGAACCCTGCTTGCTCACATGGTTGTCCTTCATCTAGTGTTCTGCCAATCCTATTCAGGATGACTCGAGTGAACAACTTGTAGATGACAGACAATAGGCAGATCGGGCGATAGTTGCCAATGTCATGGATGTCTCCCTTCTTGAACAGTAGTACGGTCCTGCTGGTTTTCCATTGAGATGGAACCTTGCATTCAGACAGGTAGCGAGTGAAGAGCCCAGCCAGTGTATTGATGAGTACTGACGGCAGGTTCTTCAGGTGTTCAGGTCTGACCTTGTCTGGGCCGGGTGCTGTTTGCTTCTTTACTGACGAAATGGCGTGTCGGATTTCGGAAGGGAGAACGTTGGGAATGACATACCCATCCTGTGGAATTTGGTATGTCGGCAAGTGGACATGGCTATCGAAGACATTTGAGTAGAAGTCATGGATAATCTTCTCCATTGCCGTTCTGGAGGATGTGATGGATCCATCAGGACGTCGGAGGGCAGTCATCTTGGTCTTATAGTTGGCGAAGGACAGGCGGGCGTTACGAATACTTTTCCCGGCTTCTGCCGCATCTACCAGTACTTCTGCTCTTCTCTCTTTGAGGTCTTCCTTGATCGCATCTCTGCACTGCTTTGCAAGCTCGGACGTTAGCTTGCGGTTGCCTGAGGCATGCGCCAAACCACGCTGGCGAATTAGCTCAAGAGTTTTCGAAGATAGGCGACTTTTTGTGGCTATCTCTCTCTTGGCGTTCCTCGCACATTCATGGAGGTGCTGAACCAGTCGATCGTATTCCTCGTCAATGTTGTCAACAATGGCATCTTCCCATGTTGCCGCAATAGTACCAAAGAGTTCCCAGTTGGTGGTCGTTCTGGGAGTTCTCTTTTTGAACTTTGCAGCCCTTTCTCCCCGCTCTGTGAAGTAGAATTTTGCACGAAGGAGACGGTGGTCCGATCCCGTTCGAAATTTTGGGACAACAGCGACATCAGTCAGGCAAAACCGTCGATTGAATATGATGTGGTCTATTTCGTTGTGGAATCGTCCACCGGGAGACTCCCATGTCCATCGTTTAGATTCTGCCTTCTGGAACTGTGAGTTACCATGAATGGTCTTGGTCGACATGATGAACTCAGACAGTCTCTCACCCTGTTCGTTCCATTCTAGGCCATGGGTTCCGATGTGAAGTTCTTCAGCTGATCTTCTCGGTCCTATCTTGGCATTAAAATCACCCACAATGATCTTGTAGAAGGTGTGGTCTTTATAGAATTTCTCTAGCTCCATGTAGAACTTCTCGATTTCTCTTTCATCATAATGAGATGTTGGTGCGTAGACAACGAAGATAGAAACTGCAGGCAGTGAGTCACATCTATTCAAATGTAAACGTTATCTCACACACTTGTTTTAAACACTTCTTGCGTGTTTAGATAAAAAGTCACAGAAGTACTGCTAAAAGTTTCAGCTGCTGGACACTATTCTGAGTTCCTTACGTGCATTCACTCGGCTAATCCTCACAAGAGATCTATGCTGTAAGCACTGGGCATTGGTAAATACTATTGGCCTGTTTTACAGATGAAGTTGAGTGGCTTGCTGAAACCCTCTATAGGGTTTCCAAAGTAAGAGTCCTGGTTCAGAAAGAGTTCCCCCCCCCCCCCCCATGCACTGGCATTCATATAGTCATTTTAGTTTTTGCTTGCAGGGCTTCCCCAGCAGTGCTCTGGACTTAGTCCTGACTCTGCTCAGAGGTCACTCCTAGCTGTTCCCCCAAGGGCCTTATGTAGGGCAGGGATCAAACCAGGTCAGCTGTGGGCAAGGCAAGCACCTTACCCACTATATGATCCATCCCAGCCCTAGATGTTTTTTTATAATGAACACATACTACATGTGTAATGGGGTGGGGAAAGGTGGTCTTGCTAAAGGAAGAAACATCCTATAAGCATGCAGTAAGAGCTCAATATCTCTAATTTGCCCTCCCACGCATACTTAAATTATATTCCTTCCTGTTCTTTTATACTCCTGCACCTTTGCTCATAAGGAAAATAAATAGATGATATTTAGACACTCTCCTTCCAGGCTGAGCTGAGTAATCACCTGTGATCCCTCTCTTCCGTGAAACTGATCATCCTTTCATTTAGACCCAAATAGTACCTGCTAAGTTATAAGTCCTATTTCCATCTCTTTTTTTTTTATTGGGTGGAGAGGGCATGCAGCCATGCTAAAGGGTTAATCCCAGCTCACTGCCTGGGACTGTTCCCAGTGGTGTTCAGGAGGCCATGTGGTGCCTGGGATTGAACTTGGGGTTCCTGCAGAGAAAAATGGACTGCCTGGCCCTCTTTTTTTTCCTTTTTGGTACTACCTCCTGACATTCCTATCCATTCCACACCCACCCTCCAGTCCAACACCCTTTTCTTTCCTTAATGCTTTTTAGGGGTCTCACACTTTAGTTGTGATTCTTCATATGTGTTCACCAGAGGTCACACTCAACAGTGCTGGCACATGGTTTTGTAGTGCTCACCAGGATTTGCAATGGTGCTCCCACACATGCTTGCCAGAAGTTTCCATCCTACATATGATCTTCACATGTCTCCACTTGGGGTGTTCACCAGATCACACAGCAACACAGAACCTGGCATTCCAGACAGCAAAGCCACCCAGAGCATACTCAGAGCATGTGGGTGACACTGGAATCTCACTCAAGTTTGCAGCCTTTTTGTTGAGCATCCCCAAATCAGGCTTTTTTTTTTAATAGCGGGGACAGTTACATACCAGTATGGGATAATGTTTGTCACATCATAGACCTTCAGTATGGAATGAAGAAAAGTGAAAGTAGTATAGCAGGATTTAAACAACACTTATTAGATAGTCTAAAAGACATCATAAAGCTGTACATGATTAATTGCTGAATGAATCATAAACAAGTAATTGCTATAA